CAACTAAGAAAATCCGCTCTTCACGTCTCGAGAAAAATGATCGTTGACTCTATCGACTTCGTACGAAACTCGCAGCAGGTCCATTCCGTCTCATAACACCCAGGTTTACTACAAGATCACCAACATGAGCACCGGGCCAGACATGAGAGCTGGGCACGTACCGGGTCGTCGTTCCCATCCTCGTTTCTTGGGACCAGGGCCTTTAAGGCCCAGACTGCGGTCAAGAAACTTCCTGACTTTGGTTGTTGGTAATGTAGACGCCCCAGCAACTGCACCGGATGACAGCGTTCTAATTGTACGTGACCTAATGCCAGTGGATCTTCAGTATGGATACATCCCAAAAAGTAGATACGTACCCAATGAGGACATCTTTGGGTGCTGCATCACTGCGGGCTCGTTTTCTGGGTTTACTGCGCGTGGCCGGGTCTTCCTTTGTTTTGCGTTTCGAGGCTGCTTTTGTGTTTGAAGAGGCAAATACGGAGGTGAAGAGGTGGTCTGGAAGATGGTTGGGATTGGTTGTTGGGGTAGTTTCTTCATCAGAATCCATTGCTTCATCGTCATCCTCCAAGTCTGCATCTAAATTATCGCTTCCTTGCCCCGAGTCATCATCAGCTAGACCCTTGAACTCTTCTCCGTCCTCATCACCGTCATGTCCGCCCTCGCCCAAATCACCGTCACCATCCATCTCCTCGGTTGCCTCTTGCATAGCCCTCTCCATTCGAGCCAGAAGATTCGCATCGCCATCATTACGCTTTTCCCACTTGCGCTTGCTGTTCTCCGCCTGCGCTTTCAACCTCCGATCTTTTTTCTTATTTCGCAGCTTTTTCTTTATTTTCTCCGCGGCGTGAGCTCGTTGCAGCGCGTCATCGCCTTGTTTTATGCTCCGTTTTGATTGGGCGAGTGAAACGGTCTCTGGTGCGTCGTCTTCACTACTGGAAGCAGAATCTTCATGAGATAGTGCCATGTGAGATGTACTAAATATGTAGTGTTAATACTTATGCGGTGAAGATACCGTTATGACTTACTTTGATATTCTGAACAACTTATGAGAACGTTGGGTTGTTGGAACTGACAAGGAATCGATCGATTTTTCACACGATGTAATCGAAAATGGTCACAAACTGACCAGGTTACTCTGGACTTGGACGTGGGATAATTGCGCGTGGACGTAGCTGACCCAGCGTCTCACATGCAGCAGCAATGATTTGTTTCTCGTCCTCAATGATACCGTGCACAGCCAACAGTTACACTTACTCGGTAAATTTCAGGCTGCAACCCCGTTCGATTCGATAGACGCCCACACCTGTACTTGTGATGAGTTGAAGGCTATGATCCCTTAGGTTGCACTGGCTTTTCAGACCTCATGGATCGAGAGCTGCGTTTCAAGACCACATAATACTGTAACAAGGGCGAGCAAGGCACAGTCATTCTGTATCATAACTTAGATGCAGCTAACCTACACACTTGAAACCCATAGATCTACGGACACACATAGGAACGTATTCTCCATACGAAAAACATGAAACTAAAATCTACGGTCTCACCTGTGGTACAGTAAGGTGCCGATGGGGTGCTTATCGGGCCGCTGCGTTTAGGGTGAAACTTCTACTATGAGCCTAGAATTTGCGGGTGAGCACAGTTTTCTCTTCAAAGCTAATGGCTACTTGCGATCAAGTTGGTTTGTTTCTTTCAACGCATACCCATTTAGTATCAGCGTCAATCTATAGATGAAGCATGACTCATATGTAGACAACGCCAGGATATCGATCCGACATCTGAATAACAAGCATCGTGAGTTTCTGTACTCTTCCCAGAAAAAAAATGTGATCGGCTACATCTCAGCCGAGCAATTTGTGTGTCTGTCAGAGCTGTGCTACAACAATAAATCAAGAATGTAAATTTAGAGCAGGGCCTGTACTTGGTCTATTTATCCTGATTCATGGTCCTCCGTATCTGAAGGAGATTATCCCTGAACCAATCCCCGATGGGTTTCAAACTAGTCCCCGTTCTGACTCGACCGTTCGGCGCAAAAACTAACTTCCGTGGCGCAACACGTGAAGCTGTACAACATTTACTTATAAATTCACACATAGACCAACTCTACTGCCACTGTTGTTTCCCTTCATATCACTGATCCAACTCAAGATGCTGCTCCGTCTGTTTTTTACATCGGTTGCTCTCGGCCTATTCTATCGTATAGGACGCTGGGTGTTTAGATTTTTCTTCGTAGAATCACCATTCAAGTACATACACGGGCCCCCATCGGAATCTTGGTTCAAAGGTGAGAGTGGTTATGCCTCTTTCAGGCACCTTCTGATGTGTTTTCAAGGTAATCTTGGTCAACTTTTTAATTCAAAGGGCCTTCCCTTTCATCAAGAGCTCGTTGAGCATTTTGGGGGGATGGTCAAAGTCCATGGATTTTTCGGGGTGAGTCACCACTGTCACCTCTTGGTCGAGTCGAAACCTCAAACGCATGATCAGGACGAACAGCTTTACGTTTCCGATCCGAGGGCTCTCCACAGTATCATAGTAAAAGACCAGGATGCATTTGAAGAAACGGCCGTTTTCGTAGAGTGAGTACCCAAGCAGTCTCTACGACTTTCGCTGGCTAAGCAAGAGTATTGGAAGAACAAATAAAGCTATTTTCGGTCCGGGATTAGTGGCGACAATCGGTCTGCTTCTTCTGTCCAATAATATGACGAAGGTTCATTTTCTTCTAGGGGACCATCACAAGAAGCAAAGGAAGATTGTCAACCCCGTTTTTTCCGTAACTCAACTTCGGCAGTTAACCCCAATCATATATGAAGTTGCAGACAAAGTATGTTTACTCTTGAGTCATAGTTCGGTTCCTGTTCCTGTTTCTGATTCTGCAGCAGCTATCAGGTGTTCTCGATAGAGAGGCTACGCGCTGCGAGGAAGAGACTGGTAGAAGCGTTCTGGACATGTCCGAATGGATGTCCCGAGTAGCTCTGGAGACGGTGGGTCAAACCATTCTGGGGTACTCATTCGATCCACTCGACTCTCCTGCCACAAATCCATACACAGCTGCTGTCAAAGAACTTATGTATGATTCAAAAACTCGTACAATACTCTGGTCATTTTCTGACGAATTTATCCCTCTAGTCCAACCATCTTCTCTCTTTCTCTTGTTCGGCAATTCGCTCCTTTCCTATCGCGACTCGGCACTCCCACGTTCAGGAGAAAACTGGTTGAATGGACTCCTAATCAAGCCGTTCAGAAGGTCAAAAGTATGTCCGATGTGATGCATGAAACAGCTCTCGAAATTCTGCGAAGGAAGCGGGAGGACATCACTCATGAGATTGAAACTGAGTCTCTCGAGTCATCCCCTGCAAAGGACATTATTAGCGTCTTACGTGAGTCATATTCATTACATCCCATCCGCGCGGCTGAAACCGGATTCATGCAGTACGTGCGAACAACCGAGCGACTGCCGCTGAAAAGCTTAGTGAGGCAGAGTTGACTGGACAGATGACGTGAGTTAACGTTCACTGCGGACGCAGGTGATACTCGTGCTAACCACAGTTCTGTCTAGCGTCCTTATCTTCGGAGCGCAGGACACGACATCTTCGGCTCTTTCCAGGATACTTTACCTCTTGTCAATACACCCTGCTGTTCAAGAAAAAGTCCGGGACGAAATCCGCGAGAAGCTCCGTCTGCAGCGGGCCGAAGGTGATTTTTCTGGGCGTTTGAACTATGATGATGTTATGGCTTTGCCTATTCTGGATGCCATAATCAAAGAAACCCTCCGACTGTAAGTCATATTTCTAGACTAGCGCTAGTTCTGTATGCTTATGTTGACACCTTGCAGGTATCCACCGGTTCCTTTTGTGCGACGCACGTAAGCTCAACTTCTGTTCTCCGGCAGAGTCCGAAAACTCACTTACCTGCATAGAGCTGTGAAAGAAAAGACTATTCCGTACTCAGATGCCGACGGAGATCTTCACCCTTCGACAGTCACGATACCCGTTGGAACAACCGTTTTCGTCGGCATTGCGGGCAGCAACCGCCTTGAGTCCGTATGGGGTCCTGACGCGAAGGAATGGAGACCTGAGCGATGGTTGACGGAAGCTGTCCCTACATCAAATTCTCAAGTACGTCTGCCAGGAATCTATTCTGGAATGTGAGTCATGAGACAAAAAATGGATGTATCACCCTTTGCTCATCACCTTTATTTGTCAGAATGTCGTTCCTTGGTGGCGGGAGGTCGTGTGTGTGAGTAATCAGCTGTCTTCCCTCTACATACAATTGTTGACATTTTCGCGCAGCGGTTACAAGTTTGCGCAAGTAGAAATGAGTAAGCGAAACTGCGCATACTAGATCTCACTCTCCATCTGACCTCATTTCTCAGAGATTTTACTGTCCGTCTTGCTCACCAGCTTTGAATTCTCTTCGACGGACGACAAGATCGTGTGGAACCTTTCTCAAATTATCTCGCCATCTGTGCAAACATCCCGGATGACTCCCACAGGGCCTGTGACAGACGAAAAGAAAGGTCTTCCTTTGGTTGTCCGCCGTCTGGCTGACGAAGAAAATTGATGTCGGACGCTGTAAAATTCTCATTCTGAACATTGTACAAGTACCAAATATTCCAGATTAGTGATTGCTTAAAATCCAAGTTTCATAGGCAGAGTATCAGCATGTAGCCCTAGCATATAGACCCATCTTCAACTCGTAGCTTCTAAAATTCTAATCTGTGTAGATGTAGAGTCAAAAATAATAACAGACATGTTGTGCTTCAAGTCGAATAGTCTGAGGCTTGACATGGTCATCATGGGCCTTTGTAAAATGGTTTACTGTGAGTATACCAGGTTTTCAACAATGAATAAACACTATTCGAGGTTAATAACAAAATAAAACAAATGGGAGTTGGCACAGAACAAATATTTCTTTCAGATCTGCGGAGTTGATGCCTTCACGTTGTCGGAGTATCCAGGGGAGCTATTTCAGATAGTTCCAAGGTAGAAAAATGCCAAAAAGCAGGGCCTCACTGGGAGTTGAACCCAGGACCTCCTCGAGAGTTGGTACTTAAAGCCCAAACAAGGAATCATACTACTAGACCATAAGGCCTTGAGAACAGAGCAATGTAACCGCATGGAGAATAATTCTTTAAGATCACGCGCAGATACAATAAGTCCGAGTTCCGACCCGACATTCGAGCCGGTATGGAGACTCAAAGCCAAGCATTGGTATGAAATCTTCTTTTCCTCTGCCGACTGACCTTTTTATGACCTCCCTTTTCGGCCGACACAATAAGTATGTACTGGCATCATGGCATGTATCTACATTCATCACCGACAGTCTTCCTCGCAGTTTTATCAAGACAATTGCCTCTGGTAACATGATCAGATACCAGTGTGCCTTTGAATTCCTTTCAGGCAACTATGGCGATGTGTCAATGCCACTGACCTAGACGACTACATACTTGGTAATCATTGCCAGCACTGCTTGTCAGATAATCTTCAAACTGTTCTATCAGAACATCACTAGCATACCCGTTCTCAGATCGTGCTTTTTGCCACTGCGGTGACACCCTCCTTCTGAGAACTACGTATGATACAAAAGTGTAATCACTGCTCATAGATGTCCTCTCGAAGTCTATCTTATCGATTCGAAAGGTCAACGGTTCACATGTGTACATATTAACTGGGGACTACACCAGCCACCCCACAATCTTTTGCTAGGTCAACAAAGAACGCCAATTTCGGACAGCATGAATTTACTCAAGGAGTTTGTGAAGAATTTGTTTTGGATACACGCTTAAGCCTTGTGTCCTTGAAAGTACAAGTGACTGTCATTTCATTTCCTCTGTCCCTGAATCAATGTGTTGATTCGCTTCTCCGAGTTCGGAGACTTACAAACCAGAAGAGACAGAACAGACAAGAGCCTTCTAGGGTGTTCTAATCAGTTTCTTGGCGAGAAAACATTCATGATCCATGTCGATATGGATTATAGAGAGTTTTCCAGAAGGCACTCCAAGACACCCTCAAAGTCAGCCATGAATTGAGTGACCGTGCATGTACCACGCGTGTTTTTCTTTCTCTCCACAAGGGTGGTCATTGCCAAATCAGGCGCAAATGTGTGGAAAAAGTGGAATGGGTATAGATCCGACGCGTGCCTGTCCGCTTTTAGACCGTGCCAAAAGGCAGCAAAAGGCCAACCAAGACCATCAATAACGTTCTTTCATCCCATCACCAATTTCTTTGCATCGACGAAGCGCCATGGAGGCTTGAGCTGCTGAGGTCCCAAGGGTCCTCCCCTACTCAATCCACTTTGTCATTCTAATCCTTGGTCACTCGACCGACTCTCGAGCGTCGAACTTTCGTTTCAACCCTTTATCACCCGTATGACGGGGCCTCAGTAAGGCCCATATGGATAACACTACTCGAGAACGTCAGGAGCTAGAGATTACCGCACTCAAATCAATTTATGAAGAGAATTTCCTCGAGATGCCACCCCCCAAGGCTTGGAAAGTTGGTGGCTTGTTTCTCTGAAATGTAAACCGCGTTGACATTCTACGAGGGGGCTACGCGCTTGCCAGAGTTTACTATACGGGTTACGCACCCATTTCACGGCAAGATCAGCTTCCACCTAAACGTCAAGTAAGCTCGTGCATCTATTACTACCAAGCCATGAGTCTGGAACTTGATACCTTATACAGATTGCCAAAGACGTATCCCGCCCTTGCGTGCCCAATCTTTACTCTGCAGAAGCCTATCGAGGGCTTGAGAGACGATGATGTTACGACGCTCTCACACAAGATCACCTCAGAGGCTCAGAAGAATCGAGGGACAGAAATGGTCTTTGAGATCGTCAGTCTATGTCAGGATTGGATGGAGAACAATGTCAAGCCAAAGAATGAAGTGACTGGGTCGCTGGCAGTGCAAATGACTCACAGAGCTGAGGAGGAGGAGCGGGTGAGTTGAGCCACGGTTTTCCTCTTTTCGACATTGATCACGATATGAAGGCGAGGAGACGGCAAGAAGCGGAAGAAGCGGAACGAGCGAAACGCGAAGCGCTGGCGAGGGAGGAAGAGTTCAAGGAGGAAGCTTTGCGACAGCTAGCTGAGAGAGAACTCCAATACAAAGCTCGAAAGCGCGCTAATTCCGAGTCGACGATGATTCCATCCTCTGGGGACACAATGACAGAGTCGTTCCCTTACAACGTCAAAGTCGATGGTATAACGTTCAACACCGTGAGGTTGTTTCATCCTCGACAAGGTATGACTCCTTTATCTTCCTCCTCGCTATCTTGTCCCAATTCGCCTTAGAATCTCTGGGAACAGTGTACATGGCCGACCCCGTCTGTGACGACATCAACGCTACGTTGCCACTAGAGCTCTACATCGTCAACTTTTATTCGCAATACTATGCCACTAACCAGGGTCATAAGAAGCTCAAACAAGTCGAGGCTGAGATCCAGCGACTGACGCTTATCCGACACCCCAATCACACAAGTGTCTTTGCCGTCAAGCTGACCCAGTCCCACTCAAGCGGGCCCTCGCAGCTTATCGTCCTTTCGGAACAAGCTCCTCCACTGACGTTGCAGGACGTTCTTGAAGATACCCAATCTCTTCGTGAAGAGCGCGCATCGGTGTGTATTTGTGTCTCACTGTTAAAACTTCCAGATAATATAACTAGTACACCAGGAATACCTAGCGCAAATCCTCTCAGGTCTGAACGCTATCCATGCAGGGGATCTTGTCCACCGAGGTACGATCGTATGCACCTGCTTTCATTGTTATGTTCTCAATATGTACAGGTATCAATGCTCGATGTATCGGCCTTGTCCCCGGCAACCGCCCACACTCAAAACAAGTCAAACTTGGGAGGGTGGGATACCCAACCCGGTTATTGGATTTGCATCGATCCAACCCTTTCGGGACAAATCTGCCCCCTACAGAGGAGCTGCCCATTCCTGAGGGATGGTTAGTGTTCCTTAGCATTGCTTTACAATTAAAGGTTGACGCAATATATGTTCGTAGGTTGTCGAGAGAGGAGAAGAACGAGTCTGCGTTACTTTACACTCGTCAACGTGACATACATGCTGTTGGAATCGTGTTACTTCAGATGCTCCTAGGTCTGGATGTGACAGAACGATACTCGAACATTCCCGAGGCCCTCCAGTCCTGTACGCCTCCTTCTCATTCACATCTACATGATCATTATTACTCACTATTTCTCAACCAGCTTTTCTCTCAAGCTCCCTTGCGCGTTATGCGACTAACATGATCCTCCCCTCTAAAAAGACGCACGCATCCTGTTTGAGTCTCCTAGCCGACCTCGCAGAGGCATCACTTCAAAGCGGCAATAGCATACAAGCGCCTTCTCGGGCAATTCCAGTGCCTTCGCCTGCGGGGTTGAGAACACCCGTGCCGTTTATGCATGAGGGCTCGCCCGAGGTATCGGCATTCTTTTGGCCGCCGCCGAGGCCACAGCAAAAGAGTCGGTGGAAGGAGGATTGGGAGGAATTGGAGCTTCTGGTTTGCGATTCGTCTCTCTTCGTGTGTTAGCATTCTTATAACGGTTAATATCAGGGAAAAGGCGCTTTTGGGTCTGTGGTGAAAGCGAGGAACAAGATCGACAATCGTATCTATGCAGGTAGATCACCTTTATTTTCGTCCTTTCTCCGAATGCTAACAAATATATCCTTTCAGTCAAGAAAGTACGCCTAAAGACCGAAGGTAGTGACGTGAAAATTTTCCGCGAAGTCAATGCCCTCAGTCGCCTCTCCCACCGCTATATCGTCCGATACTTCACTACCTGGATTGAAATCTCCGATGAACCCATCTCCAATACTTCAGATGACTCTGAAGAATCGGGGACTGATACTGGCTCAGGAATGACTTCTGTCCCCAATTCTGTCCCCAATTCAAGCGAGCGGTACCTTCCACAAAACGGTGGAGGTCTCACAATTGACTATGATGATCTGACGGGTCGAAGATCATCGTCATCCAAATCTTCGTTCCCGAGCATCCACTTTGAGGCGTCATCCTCGCCTGAGACGGGCGAGTCTAGCGGGAGTGACGAAGAGGGATTGGAAAACTTGTTTAGGTCGAGGATGCCTGTTACGCCGCCGCCAATGCAATCAAGGACATTGTATATTCAAATGGAGTTCGTTGAACGGCAGACGTTGAAGGAGGTATGGACCTTTGTGTGGAATATATGTAATGGTCTCATGGCTGATCTGTTTCAATAGCGCATCGATGAAGGAATTACACAGGATGAAGCTTGGAGGCTCTTCCAGCAGATCGTTGACGCCCTTGCCTACATGTCGACCCTTTCGATTTTGCATAGGGATATCAAGCTAACCAACATCTTCATCGGTAAGGATCTGTCATCTCTTCCGCTTTTGACAGTAACATCAGCTTCCTCGCAGATGCTCAAGGAGATTGTAAAGGTTCGTATCTATAGTTCGAAAGATCAGCGATATGATTCATTCTTGTCTTAGTCGGTGACTTTGGACTCGCCACTTCCAGTTTGGCTGCTGTGGATCCCTCAGATGTGTCTCCCACAGCAATGGCCACAGAAGACATGACCCTTGGTACAGTTGCTCATCTTCTGTCTGCCGATTACCACTGATGTATCTGCACCAGAGGTTGGTACCAGACTATACATTGCTCCCGAGGTCCAGTCGCGAAAGCGTGGTCCCAGAAACCACAACAAGGCGGACATGTACAGTCTTGGAGTACGTCAAATCGCGGTCCTCGTCATATGCTGTCGTCTCTGACTCTTCTATAGATCGTCTTCTTCGAGATGAATTACCACTTCTCAACGGGTGCAGAACGCATTGAGGTCATTGAAGATCTGAGGAGGCCCGAGATATTCTTCCCCAGTGGATGGGATCCCTCTCGCCAAAATCAGCGCGAAAGTGAGTAATGCTCCGTCAGTCATCCCTGATACCCTTCTTACTCGTCTATGGAAGTCATTACGTGGCTTCTTCAGCATCGTCCAGAGGACCGGCCTACGGCTGTTGAGCTCTCACAGAGCCCTCTCTTACCTTCGAAAATCGAAGACGAGTACTTCAAAGGAGCTTTGAACCTAATGAGTTTGTCGTACTTTCTCCTCATT